AAAGAAGGAGGCCGCAGTTGCGGTGGAAACGGCTTTGGCTAACAAACACGCCCTAGCGCAGTGGAATCCCGAGGAGTTCAAGATCAAGAAAAACAGGATGGCAGCTCTGGATCGCCTGGCTCGCGGAAAAGGCGTCCTCTCAGACGAGCAGAGGGGGGAGTGGGCATGGTTCAAGACGCATTGGGACGAGGAGATGTGCAAGCAGCACAAGGAGCAATGGCCGCTCACGTTTGCTGGGTGGCTGCAAAAAGTCGCGAACGACGCGGCGTCTGGGAACCGTTCGGCGCTGTCGCAGTTCGTGCATTCGGAAACAGTGAGAACCCTGGGAGGGCAAATGGCGCTGGTAATCCCAGCCCTAGCGTGATGCAGGCCGCAGTTGCGGACCCACAGGAAGTCCAGAGGGAAGTTGTTTTTCCAAGCGGCTCCCGCGCGGGCAGGAGATGAGGCAAAACCGCAGTTGCGGTCTTCCTGCTGCTGTGAAAATAATCCTTTCACAGTCCCTTGCAATCGTCGCCCTCCTTCTGCTTCTCCGCCAGTCCATTTGTTGTTCTTTCGGTTCCTTTGAGTCCTCGCCCTCCTTCTGCCACTCCTCGAATCCTCTTTGTCTCCTCCCTCCATCCGACCCCATGCCCATTCACGATCCATTTCCGTAGCCACCGTGGCTCGAGGTGGCGCACGCGAAGACGCAAGCATGTGGCCGCCCGCGCGCCCGAGCGCATCCTCAGGGAGTATGGACCGTGGACTTCGATTCGCCAGAACGGTGTTCATCCACAACGCTGAGGAGGAGGAGGGAGGCAAAGACGAGGAAGCCGCAGTTGCGGATGATGACGACGACCAGCGGACGCAAGATGGCGACAGCACCGTCGCGTCCTCGGCTGCCTCCGCTGACGAGGCTGAGTCCCGGGGAGGTGCGGGAGCCGCAGTTGCGGCAGCACATGACTCCTACATGCCGAGAGTGTTGTCGTCGCGGAGACCTGGAAACGGGTGCCCATCATCGAGACAAGCAATCTGTCGGAAAAACAAAGAGCTCTTGTCGACGCATGGGAGGAGAAAACGGAGTTCGAAGCGGGACGGGTCGGCTTCTACGTGGCCAACTTCGGAGGGACTGCAGCTAGACCCACGCAACGCGCGGACGAGTGGGCGCAGCTCCGCGCGAACCCTGCCCAGATCATCGCCCTCTGCGAGTGCGACGACGAGACCTGCGCGGTACTCAGTGGGGAGCACGACGCGAGGGACAGTGCAGCCGCAGTTGCGGACGATAGGTTTCGGAGTCGGACTCAATACAACTACCTGTGCGTTAAGGGCGGCGAGCCATCAGGGACCCTCCTTGTTGGCATGAGGGACCGCAGTGGCGGCCACATTGAACACGTAGACTTTGCGAGACTCTTCCACAAGCAGGAGAAGTCCAAAACGAAGAAGAAGAAGAAACAGTCCGCAGTTGCGGAGGCTCCTGCGCCAAAGCTGCACAACAAGTACTCCAGGGCGATGGTGGTGCGCGTCCACCTGGACCAGGCCGTGCCCCATTTGGGGGGCTCCTTCAACGTCATGGCGGTGCACGTCCACCACAGCTTGGCCAACCAAGACTGGGGCGTCACGAAGCTCCATGAGTTCTACAACTGGTTCGTCGCCTACGTCAGGGAATGGGACGTGAAGGTCTGCATGGGGGACTTCAACATGTGCATGTTCCAGCTTGTGTCCTGGTGCCGCAATTGCGGCCTGACTGTGGACGTCGCCGCGTGGACCCCCTGGAAGACAGCAGGCGGCCAGCCCAGGGCAGACAGCATGGCGATTTTGTTCATAAACTGTCCTGGGCAGTACAAGCTTCACCATGGCCTGAGTGTTCTGCACGACCGTGAGGGCGGATTCTTGACGACCCAGCATGATCCGTCTTTCCCTGTCTTCGACTACACGAATGGCCCTGGGAAGATGCTTCAGACTTACGTGCCCAAGGCTGAGCCCGTTGAAAACAAGATGCGCGCCTTCCTGACGCCATCTGGCGAATCCTTGACCGCAGTTGCGGAGTTCGAGCAAAGGATGGCGCGCAGGGAACGCGACGATTGGGTGCGCCATCCCTTCAGAGTGAAGCAGGGCAACCTCGACGACAAGATATGGCATGGCGCCTTCGGCAGGGCGAGGCACGGAGCGCACTTCCCTCTGGTGGCTTTCACGCACAATACGTGCCGCAGGTCACCTGAAAGACTCGCCGCGAGGTTGGAACGCAGGAAGGGCGGCAGGAAGGGCGGCAAGAAGGGCGGCAAGAAGGGCAGCTACGCGGACACCGCAGTTGCGGGGAAGGGCGTCCGACCCCAGATGGGAACCGCAGTTGCGGGGAGAGACGCTGGGGCTGAGCGAGCTGGGAACACGCCACCGCCGCAAGCTGCCAACGGCGACGATGCGACCCCTTCTTGTGCCGCAGTGGCGGCTGGGTCCTGGGACGCCAGCGGCAGCGGCGCATGGGAGGCGCGCAGTCCCGCCACGAGATGGCAGGGCTGGTCCTGGTGGGACTGGAGCTCGAGCGAATGGGGCGCTGATGGCGCGCAGTGGTGGCCCTCTGATCATGCCGCAGTTGCGGACAATGCCCCTGAGGGCTCGCCTCCTCAGCGTGAAGTCGAGTGGGGCTCGAGCGGGCGACCTGCCGAGCGCCCTCCGTGGAGCTTCGAGGCGCAGCGTTGGTGATGGCCGCAGTTGCGGGCAAGTGGAGCATGATGTTGATTGCCGCAGTTGCGGACAGTGTACGCTGGAAAAATCATCATCATCATCAATCATAATCATCATCATATCATCATATCATACGTTCAAAGCAGTGCCGGGGCACTGCTTTGAACGCGTTCAAAGCAGTGCCGGGGCACTGCTTTCGATCGTCGCCTCGTCGCCGTCATAAGGGCTTTCGGATTATGGCGTCCGCGGCGCGACCCCGTGCAGCGCCGGCTGGAGGTGATGCTGATGGCGTGGCTGGCAGTGGCAACGCCAGCCGGGGAGACGATGATGCTGCAGACGTCAGCGCCGGCCGCGGCATGGAGGTGCCAGCACTGGCCGGGGCGCTGGCTGCCGGGGCCGCCGTGGCTGCGGCTGGGCAGGCGTCGGCTGCCGTTGCTCCGCCAGCAGCGGCTAGGCCGCGTCGCGTCGGCAGGAAAAGGGCACCAGATGATGCTGACGGAGCTGCTGGAAAGCCCCCAAGCCAGCGGGCCAAGGTGCGAGGCGACGCCGCCGCCTCCCGGGAGCTCCCGCGCCTCAGAGGACCGGCCGCGGCGCACCAGCCTGGGGAGCTGTCGGCCGAGGATGGCGCTGACGAGAGCGAGGGGCGGAAATGTTACTTAAGACCGGCTTTTTCCTTAATGGCCGCTTCTGCAAGGCAGGTCGTTGGTGGAACCTCCGACTCCTCCCGCAGCCTCGCGGGGTGCGACCTCCGGCAGGCGGCGTCCGATGTGAACGAGGCGCCACTTAGAGCCTTGCAGCGTCGTGCGCGCATGGTGCCGCCGCCCGCTGCTGCTTCAGTCGAGGGTGGGGGGGCGGTGAGTGTGGGGGAGGGTGGTGCTGGACGAGGCCCGGAGCAGCCTCCGGCAGGTCTTCCTGCAGACCCCAGCCCCTTGGCGGATAACGCCCATGACCTGGTCTTGCGTAGCCCGTTTGTGCTGTGCAGGCGGTGCGGGGCGTACGTCTCCGCAGAGAGGGGTGCCAAGAGGCTGAAGGACTCGTGCCCGGGCCCCCTCCCGCCTCTCGACAGGTGTAGCCCTGCGGAGCGCGAGCGGCGCAGACGCCGCGAGAAGCTCCTGCAAGGCCTCCATCCCACCTCGGGTGCGAGCCTGGGGGCTTAGCCTGCTAGTCGGCGCGGGTCTGACTAGCTGTTGGGGGCCTCAGTGGCCCGCTGGCCGGACGGCTAGCTCAGTTTACGGCTCACGGTCTGTTGTTTCTGCGGAGCTTCAGGACGTGGCGCGCCAGGGGGATCGACACACACACACACACACACACACACACACATGCACACGCGCGCACGCACGCACGCACGCACGCACGCACGCACGCACGCACGCACGCACGCACGCACACGCACACACGCACGCACGCACAACACACGCACACACGCACCCATGCAGGATTCCTCGAACAGTGCTTGCACGTATTGGATTCTTATGCGCGTATTAAGTGATTGGGTGGATGTGCCCCGGTTTCGCGGACCAATTCTAGCTTGCTCCCTTTTTGACCGATGGCCTCAACGACTGCCTCAAGGGGGTCCCAAGAACCGCCAGGGATCCCAATGAGGCCTCCGAAAGGACCTCAAGAGGGTCAGAGCTCCCAAAACTGCTCCAGGAGGCCTCCGAGAGGCGTTCAGTAGGCTCGCGGAGCGAAAGCTTCACGAAGGCTTTATGGTTGACTCGTCTTCGTCGTCGCCCTCGTCTCCTGCTTCCTCCCCAATCCTTCTCCTCCTCCTCCTCCTCCTCCTCCTCCTCCTCCTCCTCCTCCTCCTCCTCCTCCCCCCACCCCTGCGTCCTCCCCCCTCCTGCTCCTCCGTTTCCTCTTCCCTCCGCTTCATGTTTTCAAGGATCGCGGCCGCCCCTCGCCGACAGGATCCTGAAAGGACCCCAAGAGTTTTGGTGCGACAGTTTCCCGAACTCTTGCTTCTACTGACGGCTCCTCCGCTTCCCAAACCGATGCAATTCGTTCGGCATCGTTGCTGGATGGTCTGGTGGCGATGCGCGAATCGTCCAGAATAGCAGTGCACATGACCACAGGAGGATGAGGAGGGGTTCAAGAATGGAGGAGGAAGAGGAGGGGGAGGAGGCGCAGGTGGAGAGGGAGGAGGAGGTGGAGGAAGCGGATGAGGAAGCGGAGGAAGAGGTCGAGGAGGAGCTGGAGAGGGAGGGGAGGGAGGAGAGGGAGGAGGAGCAGGAGAAGGAGGCTGCAGAGGTAGGAGGACGTGCGGGGAGAGTGGAGGCAGGAAACGGAAGCAGGTATCAGCAGCAGGGAAGGTCAGGAGCAGTAGCAGGCGTTACCGCCGCCAGGAACGGGGGTGGTGGAGCGACCGCTGTGTGACATCTGGCAGTTGGTCATCATTCCCGAGCAGGCGGGTGCGGCCCGCCGCCTGTCGTTGCGGCGATCGCCCCCGCTGTCGCCGTCGTCGCCGTCGTCAGCGTCGTCGTCGCCGCCGCCGCCGCCGCCGCCGCCGCCGTCGTCGTCGTCGTCGTCGTCGTCGTCGTCGTCGTCGTCGTCGTCGTCGTCGCCCCTCGTCGCGCCTCTCCCGCTGGCGGCGACCGCCCGCCCGCGCTCGGCCGGGGGTGCGAGTGCGCGCGCGCGTGGGCGCCGGGCGGGGGTTGGGGGGCGCAGCGCATTGCGGCGAGCGGCAGGGTGCTGGCTGGCGGGCTGCAAGCGGCCCCGCTCGGGGGGCCCCCAGCAGGCACCAGAGAGAGGCTGCCGAGGGTCGAGAGCCAAGACCGGCATGAGCGTAATTTTGTCGGAGATCCGCGCGGACCTCCGAGAAATCATGTTCATGGCGTTCTTGGTTGCTCCAGAGGGCGCGAGATCTGAGTCGGGAGCGAGACCGATGCGCACGCGCGCGCACGAGCTCACAGACGGATCTGGAGAGGACGCACTGCGCGAGCACTCGTGTCGCGAGGACGCCCTCGCGTGTGGGGGGGGGCGGGCCTGGCTCGTGCACGGAGGCGTGCCCCCCTCCCTCTGCCCACCTCGCCGGCCGCTTGCCTGCCAGCCGGTCCGGTGGTCAGCTCGCCTGGCCGCGGCCCGGCGAGGGCTCAGGCGCGTCGTGGCCCGCCCGCGCGCGTGCGCGTGGCTGGGCGCCCCCCGTCCGTTGCGAGCCCTCTCCCGGCCCCTGCTGGGTGCGCCTCGCGTGGCTTGGCATCGCTCGGGCGTGTGCATTGCTCCTTCGGCGAGGACCATCGAGGAGCATCCTTGATCATTTGGCGAAAAAGCCACGCACGAAGCCGAAAAAAGCACAGGGAATGGACGTCCGAGCGATGGCCAGGTGGACGCGTCCCGTGTACGTCTGGCTCGCGACGGCGGTGTCACCTCGCCCGCGGAGGAGAGAGGGCGCGCACGTGCCTCTCCCCGGGCTCCCCGGAGGCCGTGCGGGAGGTGGGGGGAGCTCCGCAGCCCCGCGTGTTTGCGCACGAGCGGGGCGTCGGAGGTTCGGCGGGTCTGAGCAAGTTGCGCATCTTATGCTGACGTCGAATTCTTGGAGGCCCAGGGGTTGGCACCAGCACCAGTAACGGCGGTTGCCTCCATCTAGGGCGGATGATCCAGAGATCGACGATGGTGGTGTTGTTCGGGCTTCTTAGATTCAGATCGCCGAGAGATTGCCACCGGGTTTTCGTGCAGTTGTCTTAGGGAAGTTTCGCTCAAAGACGACTTCCCCCCGCCAGTCGGAAGGTTTGTATGCTCGTTTTGTGGGTGGGCAGCCGTCGTATTTCTACGGCGCGACGCGCGCGTGCGAATGCCGAGCAAAAAGTGAGCCCGGGAGCTTATAGCTTGTATTTCTCACGGGTTCTTGATTCTTCTCCAATCGGTTGGCGAGGACAGCTAGTGGAATATCGATTGTTTGTGATGTGGGCCAACGTAGATCAACGGGGCACCAGTACATCTGGCCATAGCGTGTACGGTCCAGCGCGAGTCGAGGGTCAGCCGATGTCGTTCAGCAGCACCTTTGGAACGATGTCAGGAGGGATGGTCTCTTGCGAGAGGCCCGTAGAAGGCAGCACCACTGACCCTGGCCGCCCATGCCCGTCAGCGGCCATCGTCCGGCGAAAGGGGGCGGACGGGGTGATGGCGAAGAGAACGAAGTGCATAAGCATGACCATATGACCATGTGGGGTGTTCCAGAAAAGGCCCCGCTGTCGAGGATTGAAGGAGGTGCCATCTCTTCAGGGTTCAGGGCTCCCGGAACTCGCCATGTGACCACGAGCAGAAATTCGGGCGCCGCTAGGGAGGGGGGTCCAGCGCCGATCCAAGGATGTCTGCGCAGACCTACGGGCGCCATATGCTCATGCAGAGGTATCGTCTGCCAAAGAGTACGAGCAGGACGAGGTGTAGGAATTGGACGTTGACGGGGACGAAGAGGAGGATCAGGGGGACGACGACGAGGGGGAGGGCGAGGAGGAGGAGAGGAGAGGAGGGAGGACGACAAGAGGACTAAGGAGGAGGAGGAGGAGGAGGAGGAGGACCAGTGTAAACCCAAGACGCATCAACGATGTTGTAATAGTTAATCCCCCCCTCCAAGTTCCATCTTCACAGGTCCCTGGAAGGATTTTTTCACTGACGGAAATGCCCCGTTGGAAGACTACCAACCGCTTGAAAATCCAGAACCGTGCCAAAACACAGTTCCTTAGATTTCAACGCCGCGAATCAACGTTAGTGTTGTGTCCTGACGGTCCTCAGCCGTGCCAGAAAATTGTTGTTGGGACTTCAACACCGCGAATCAACGTGAGTGTTGCGCCCTGATAATCATACATCGAGCGAAAAAAACAGTTGTGGGACGCCAGCCGTAATAGTCCTTGAAATACGCATGTAATCTCTTGTTTCGAATGTGCACGGCGCTACGGCAAGAGCCACATTTTGAAAAGGAGTTGCCTTCCATTTGTAAAGCTCTTGCACATGTTTCAGACTAATGTGCCAGCGCAAAGTCGAGAGCCACATTTTGAACAGGAATCGTCTTTCATCCGTGATACTATGGCAAACGTTTAAGACGAATGCGCGCGGCGCTAAGACGAGAGCCACAGCTTGAAACCCGCCCGTCCATCTGTGAAACTCTCGCAGACTTTTTAGACACACGTGTGCGGTGCTAAGACGAGTGCCACATTTTGGAAACGGCCCGCCCTCCTTCCGCGAAATTGTTGCAAATTTGAAGCTTCAGGATCACACATGGCGAGGAAGTCTCAGCCGAAACGCCCGGCCCGCCCTACCGACACGTCTCGGGGTGCGACAGGAAGGAGTTCTAAGGAAAAGGGGTGGAGGCGGAGGACGACGACGACGACGACGAGGGGTAGGAGAAGGAGGAGAAGGAGGAGGAGAGGAGGTGCAGAAGGAGGGAGTGTGTGTGTGTGTGGGAATGGTGGAGGCTGTGGGCGGTTGCGGCAGGGGGGTGGGAGGCGGCCTCGTCCTCGGTGCTCTCGCGGGCGCGGGCTCACAGCACGACTCCTCGTGGCTGCATCGGCCGGGGCCCCGAAGGGGCCAGCGCTGGCCGGGTCGGGCGACAAGATGGGGGGGAGTATGGCGTCAGGTCGGGAGGCGGTTTCGTCCTCGTTGCGCCCGCGGGCGCGGTCTGACTGTACGACCTCTCCTGCCTGCCTCGGCTGGGGCCCCGAAGGGGCCAGCACTTCGTCAGGTCGGACGGCGGGGGAGGGGGGCAGGGGGAGCAGGGGAAGGAGGGGTCACGAAATCTTCTGCTGGCATCCAGTTTCAGCCCCGCCGCCGCCGCTTCCCTCGATGCCATGGTCGCCTCCAGCGCCAGGCAAGCCAGTTGCGCGCGCTGCATCGCCCCCCCCCTTTGCTTTCGCCCTCCTTCCGCCGTCCGACCGGGGGGGGGCAGGCCCTTAGAGACCCCCTGGGGCCCTGAGAGGCCACCTCTGGTCCACGTTCGGCGGGTTCTCGAAACCCCGGGGTGGGGGGGTCAAGATCCTGTCCCCGGCGCTCAGGGTCGGGCCCTAGATTCCCACCCGGGCTCAAGTCATTCACTTCGTGGAACCACGTTCGCAGGGTCTTTCCACTTGATCGGAACCCTCTGGGGTTCTTGCCTCCTCCTGCAGGGCAGCAGTAGTAGTTGGCTGGCGATGGGGTGGAGGAGCGGGAAGATAAGAATGAGGAGGAGGGACAGTGGCAGGAGTAGCAGGGGGAGCAGCAAGAGGAGGGCCAGGAGCTCGGAGCTGGCCGCTTGCGGCATCGCCTGCCTGCTGCTTTCTCGCGCTCGCGACCGCCAGGAGAACAGAATTTACATTTTTTGGGAGTTTACCGTGTCGCTGCTCATCTTGATCAGGCCCCGCGGCCCCGTGCACCGCCCCGCACCCGACCCGCCACGCGCGGGCGGCAAGGACGGGAGGAGGAGGAGGAGGAGGAGGAGGAGGAGGAGGAGGAGGAGGAGGAGACGAGAAGGGGTTCCTTCCTGAGTGGTCTACTTCAGCGGTGACCGGGATGGCTTCTTGCAGTAAGCCCGTTGCAACAAGAGTTCGAGTTACAAATCCACCATAAGGGGAATCAGTTGGTAAACCGGCCACAATAGGAATCAAATTGTAAATCCGCAGCAAACGAAATGAGTTTGTAAACCCGCCACCTCAAGCAATCACTTCGTCAAGATGTTCGACATAAGGCATCAACATGTAAATCTGCGACAAAGGAAGGACTGCGTAGAGGGACAATTCAATCAAATTCGGTTGAGCGGCCCGTGGTCTGCACCGAGTTCGCCAAACATATTTTTATGGTAATGTAGCATGTAGCACGATGGAGAAACAAAATACGTCTCAAGTGCGACACACTCCACATGTTTTCACTCAACGCATGAGCCTGTTCGGTGCGATTTCAGGAGCCTCAAGCGATAACTCCTGTTACCGCGAAAAAAGGAGTCTCCGGCTGCGCTGCCGCGCATATCCGCTACCGCGCTTGGAGAAGCCGCGCAGTCAAACCGCAGCGATGTGTGGGCGTAGCGTTCACCTGGAACGGCTCTGTCTCGCGGCCCCTCTAGATTGTTTTGAGGCGCATGTCGGTATCTTTGGGACTTCTTGGGGCCAGGGGTGTTTCAGGACAGCATGGGTCGTTTCAAGACCTATACTTGGGTTACTGTCGACTGGGCGGCGACGGAGCTGCGGTGGACAAGGGGAACATACGTCAACATAATGAGATGATTTTGTTGACGCTGTGTGTGTGCAGGATGTGTTCAAACCCCCATGGGCCTGCTTAAAGACCTCGTGAGGGCCTGTCGGAGGCTTCCTGGCGCCTCATGGGAGCTTCTGGGAGGCCTCTTAGGCCTTCTTGAGAGCCTCGTGGGAGCCTTCAGGGGCATCTTGGGGCTTTTGGGTGGCCTATTGGGACCTGTGGGAAGCCTTTTGGGAGCTTCTTGGGGGCCTCTTGGGGACTTCTTTGGCGCTTCCTAGGGCCTCTTGGAAGCGTCTTGGGGTCCTCTTAACACTTCAGGCGCTTTTTGGTTGCCTCTTGGGGACCTCGCAGGCCGTCTGGGAACGATCCTGGGCGCCTCTGGAGCCCGTCGTGGACGCCTTGAAGACGAGTAAGGAGAGAATGCCAAAAGTGCACGCGCACCCATAGGTTTTTGCGCAGTCAGGCTTTAGGATGCGTGTTGAACAGTTTAGCCTTTAGGATGCGTGTTGAGGGGCTCCTGTGGGGCCCTCCGGGGCCTTTCCTGCGGACTCTTGGGGCCGCCTTGAGGCCATCGCGGCCGTCTTGGAGGCTACGGTGGGCCTTCCCGGACGCCGTAGAGCCGTAGAGGGCCACCTTGTCCGACTTGGAGGCAACAGTAGCTGTCTTGGAGTCCATTTGGGGTCATCTTGGCCTCCTTGGAGGCCCTCTCGAAGCCGCCGTGGGGGTGGTGGGCGCCCCGGGGAGGGGGGAGGGTCCCATGGACCCTCCTTCCTGGAACTTGGCACTTGGGAACAAGTCGGGAAAATAGCAAGTACAAGGACGGAGTGTTTGGACAGTGGGCGACATTAGCTTCGGACAGCTGTAGCCTCAGGGTGCGAATTACTGGATACAAATAGTGGTGTCGATGGCTTGGGGCAGGACTGACTCGACAAAAACACTGGCGCCGATGACTTGGGGCAATAATTACGTACTCGACGAAACAAAGGTGCCAGTTACCTTGGGCACGAATTGCTCAGTAAACGTACAGTGGTGCCAATGACTTGGGGCAAAACCACCCCCCAAGTACACCAACCATCCCAGCAGCATTCCTCTCCAATCTTCCGCCTTCTAAAGCAAACGCGCAACCACCATTCAGGCGCACCAACCATCCCAGTAGCATCCCTTGCCAAACCTCCGCCCGACCACCCCAGCAGCATCCTTCACCGAACCTCCCGCCCAACCCTCCCAAGCACAGGCGCGCCAACGATTCCAACAGTATTCCTCACCAACCCACCTGCAGGCGCAGGCGCGCCAACGACTCCAACAGCATCCCTTACCAACCTCCCCGCTGCACCCCAATTACGAGCCGCAGACTCGACACCCAGCCGCGCGAACCGTCCCATCAGCATCCCTCACCAAGCCCCCCGCCAAACCCTCCCAGGCTCCGGCGCGCCAACAATCCCAACAGCATCCTTCACCAACCGCCCCACTCGATCATCCCAAGCGCAGGCGCACCAACCATCCCAGCAGCATTCCTCACCGACCCCCCGCCAAACTACCAGGCGCAAGCGCGCCAACAATCCCAGCCGCGTCCTTCCCCCCCCCCCGCCAAACCATCCTAGGCACAGGCGCGCCAACGACCCCAACACCATCCCTCATCAACGCTCCCGCTCGACGGCGCATGCTCGACTTTCCCAGGCGGAGGCGCTCCAACCGCATCCCAGCAGCATCCCTCACCAAACCCCCCGCCAAGCCTTCCAGGGCACGAGCACGCCTGCCACCTCAACAGGATCCCTCATCCCCGCCGCCAAACCCTCCCAGGCGCCGTCGTACCAACCATCCCAGCAGCATCCCTCACCGAACCCCTCGCCAAACAGCTCCCAGGCACAGGCGCGCCAACGACAGCATCCCGCACCCACCCACCTCGCCAGACCTTCCCAGGTTCAGGCCCCAGCAGCATCCCTCGCCAAACTCTTCCCCTCGACTTCCAGGCGCAGGCACACCAACGACCGCATGCCCCATCAACGCCAACGACCCCAACAGCATCCCTCACCAACCTCCTCTTCGACTCTCCCAGGCGCAGGCGCACCAACTATCCCAGCAGCATTCCTCACCAACTCCCGCTTGACCCTCCCAGGCGCAGGCGCACCAACCATCCCATCAACATCCCTCACCAACCTCCCCGCTCGACCGTCCCAGGCACAGGCGCGCCGATGACCCCAGCAGCGCCCCTCACCACCACCCCTCGCTCGATTCTCCCAGGCGCAGGCGCACATGCCACCCCAGCTGCAGCACCCCTCACCAAACCCCACGCCAAACCTCCCCAGGCACAGGCACGACAACGACCGCACCTTTCACCAAACCGGCCGCCAAACCCACCCACCCCCCAGGCACAGGCGCGCCAACGACCGCATCCATGACCAAACATCACCGACCCCCCTCCCCTCCGACCTTCCCAGCCGCAGGTGCATCAACCAATCCAGCTGCACCCCTCACCAAACCCCGCGTCAAACCCTCCCAGGCACAGGCGCACCAACGACTCCAGCAGCATCCCTCACCAAACCTCCCGCCCGACCCTCCCAGGCGCAGGCGCATCAACCATCTCAGCAGCACCCCTCACCAAACCCCGCGCCAAACCTTCCCAGACACAAGCGCGCCAACGATCGCATCCCTCACCAGCCCCCGTCGCTCGTCCAGGGGCAGGCGCACCAACCATCCCAGCAGCATCCGTGACCAACCCCCCCGCCAAGCCCTCTCAGGCACAGGCGCGCCAACGACCCCAACAGCATCCCGCCCGACCCTCCCAGGCGCAGGCGCATCAACTATTTCTACACCCTCCCTCACCACCGAACCACCAAAGCCTCCCAGGCACAGGCGCGCCAAGGACCACATCCCTCACCAAACATCACCAAACTCCGCGCCCGCCCTTCCCAGGCGCAGGGATGCCAATCCATCCAGCTGCACTCTCACCCACCCACCCGCCAAACCTTGCAAGGCACAGGCGCGCCAACGATTCCAATAACATCACTCGCCAAACCCTCCCGCCCGACCCTCCCAGGCTCAGGCACACCAAGCATCCCAGCAGCATCTCTCACCACCCCCCCCGCCAAACCTCCCAGGCACAGGCGCGCCAGCGACCCCAGCAGCATCCCTCACCAACCCCTTCCGCCAAACCCTCCGAGGCACAGGCGATCCTAATAGCATCCCTCCCCCTCCGTTCGACCCTCCCAGGCGGTACAGCATCCCTCACCACCACCCCTCGCTCGACTCACCCAGGCGCAGGCGCACCAACCATCCCAGCAGCATCCCTCACCAAACCCCAGTTGCACTCGATACGAGGTCCAACTACTCCCTGATAGACATGAGAGGTATGGCAGCACAGATAACAAATCGGACATATAGCCAATACCTACTATAGAAAGCCCTGACATGTCCTTCCGGTCACCGCGACCATTTGGGTCTGATTTCAAGCATCGTCAAACACGCAGGGTACGACAATTCATTCTTTGCACAGTCATGGGGGCAATGCCTCGAGCCATCGCGATTTTCGTGTTAGCGTTAGTGTCATGAGATGTTCACTTCACGACAAGGACAGACCTCAAGCGAGTTGTTATCCGAATTGTCAAAAGTGCCTTCACACATGATGAAATCACATAATAGAAATGTAAGTGTCGATATGGCACTACTGTGACTTGATATTGTTCGAGTTCATGTGGTTTTTGCACAGATATCCCACTCCTCGACACGATGAACAATTTGAGTTGATCGCGTAGCACCAGCACGCCGAAGCTAAATATTAGTTATCGTCTCGGAGCGGCATCATTGTGCGCCAAGACATGCGAGATGACTCTTCTCCCGCATTCCGCAATACTACGACTAATAATAATAATAATAGTAATAGTAATAATAATATTAAGAAGACTAATCGTTGAGTTGGAACGCCGTATCTTACGGGCCAACGTTTCACCTCGCGTTTGAGACGAGACATACTTGGATTGTCTAGCACACGCACACAATTCGGCCGTTGCACTATTTATTGTCACCAATCTTTGTTACCATGGTATGCATATCCTCCATAAAGATACGAAACTACCAACATAGCACCATGAATCCGTAGCCACTTTGGCTCAAGGAATGCACGGCAGGTCGTCCATGTGTTGTTTCCGATGGAAGTCGTTTTTTCTTTCTAGTGAGCCATGACGTCCTGCAGCTTGGTCGTGACGCTTTCTGAGAATGCCAACGCGGAGCGCTTTGCTCCATGGATGGCATCAGAGAAAGAGGAAGTTGTTTTCGCCGTAGACGGCGGGAATTTCGGACGCCCACTTACCGCAGTCGGTGTCCAGAAATGGTGGGCTGGTAAGGAACGATTCTTCATGACAGCGTGGCTGGAAGATTCTTGAGTACCACATCTTCGACATTGTATCAGATGCACAAGTTTGTGGCCATAACGAAGTCGGCATCTTCTCGGGCGCGGACCCGGAGCTCAACGTTGCCACTGCGCACTGCGGTGTTGGGGCTATTTTCGCATGGTTGCTATATAACTGTATATCTTGCCGTCTTCACGGGATAAAGGTATCGGAATGGCCGCAGTGGTTGCAGCTTGCCGTGAGGCGTTTCATTTGGGTGCTTCTTCGACGCTCTTGATTGTTCAGGAGGCAAATGTGCGTGCGCGACGATTCTACGAAAGGGTCGGGTTCAGCGACACAGGCAAATCAATGACAAGGGGCGGAAGGAGCTTTATCCTCATCGAATACAAGAACAATAAGGTAGCACCTGCTGTAGCCTTGGTGGAGGAGCAGGACGCTGAGTGTTTGACAGCTTGGTTGGGTGCAGAAGATCTGGCGGTGCAGCATGCAGTAGATGGCGAGGACTTCGGACGGCCTATTTCTCCTGCTTGCATTCGTGGGTTCTGGTCAGGGTTTGCCCAATGGTGCCAGACTGCGAGGTCTCGGGAGGCGCTTGTCCATCGAGTCTTTGTTGCACGCGTAGACGGTGTTGCGTGTGGGCACATTGAGATTGGTGTTCTGCGATCCATCGACACATCCCACAACCCAGTAAACAGTTTCTGTGACTGCGGAGTGAGGCAACGCGGGGATCTGAGCGGGACCTCGCCGTCCCTGGGGGGCTGCGATCTGCGACATTGTCGCCACTTGCGAGGGCTGCTGGTGGGTCCTGCGGAGTGAGGCACCGCAGGGATCTGAGCGGGACCTCGCCGTCCCTGGGGGGTCTGCGATCTGCGACATTGTCGCCATTTTCGAGGGCTGCTGGTGGGTCCTGCGGAGTGAGGCAACGCGGGGATCTGAGCGGGCCCTCGCCGTCCCTGGGGGGCTGCGATCTGCCACATTGTCGCCACTTTCGAGGGCTGCTGGTGGGTCCTGCGGGATGAGGCAACGCGGGGATCTGAGCGGGACCTCGCCGCCCCTGGGGGGCTGCGATTTGCGACATTGTCGCCATTTTCGAGGGCTGCTGGTGGGTCCTGCGGGGTGAGGCACCGCGGGGATCTGAGCGGGACCTCGCCGTCCCTGGGGGGGCTCTGGAGAGTTGCTACGGGATATGTTTGGCGCAACGGGCGCATGGCACAGCTAACGGGGGTGATTTGTGAAACAGACCATCTGCGGGGCGATGGTCATAACGTTGCGCCTACACGTATCCCGCGGGAGCTCTCAAGAGTTGCTGTGGGATGCGTTGGGTGCAACGGGCGCATGGCACAGCCAACGGGGGTGATTTGTTTTTACGTAGCCCTTAGATCTTGATCGGGGGCCTGCGAGCCTTCCGATTGCTGCTCGTAAAATCACATGCGTCCATGTTACTTCATCGCCCCCGTTGTAGCAATCCTGATGTATTTGTGCCCCGCATTGCGCAAGGGTTGGGTACGTCGCCTGGGTAATTTCCATTGTCCGCTGTTTGGATATTCGAACATACCTCCTGAGAAGATGCAACCGAAAAATGAAGGTCATTCATTGACGGACGCCAGGGGCGTGGCAACGCCCCCCCCACGAGCCGGGACCTTGGATTGCATGAGCTGATGTGTAAAGTGTTCTTGGTGGTTCGTGTTACGGTGGGGGACTTCGTTAAGGAACGTGTCCAGGAGGTTTCAGACCCTGGAGGGTTCCTTATCTGATGAGGGCGGCGGTGATATCCATGGCTAAGCCTCGATTGGAGTTCCACTGGCTTCTAGACCCTGGATTTCTTATCGAAGGTTTCCTTATCCAATGCCCCCACCGTATTTAAACACATGATGGGGTGGATGTGTCGCGGAGCCTTACTGTATCACTTCGCAAGAAGGGAAAGTGACGAACGGAGCAAGGGCCTGACAGTGCCCGACGCACGCGCACACACACAAACCGCTGCAAGCGCCTTGGTGGATGCGGACACAAGCACTGCATATTTTTCTTGGGACTCCTTCCAGATCTTCAGACACAAGAAATTTGCGATTTACAACATCTGCAGAGAGTCTCAAGCAACAGTTCGCTTTCACCTGTGAATCTACCCGGTGACAAATGGAAGATCGTAGCCTCCCTCGGTCGGATCCAGAGCGTCACTAATGATTTCCCAAGCAGCGTGCTTGCATTTAATGGCTGGACTCTTACTTCATTGTTGTTCCTTGAGTACCTTGGCCAGGACCTGGCCGGGACCTGGCCGGGCCTTGCGGGGGTTATTTTCGTCTGGGGACCCCCAGGGGCGGCCCCGCGCGCGCGAATTAGAACAGTGCTAACCAGTCACCGGAGATCTTACCACGCCCTTGACCCGTTGGGCCGGCGAATTGCTGTTCCTTGAGTGATTGGGCGGGTCGGCCGAGGATTTTCCTCGTGGCCGCCCGAGCCGCCTCAGCTCGTGGGCGCTGGTGGGCGGCTCGCGTGCGCCGGGTGGGCCGGCCGAGGTCGCGCCACGGATGCCGCGCGAGCCGCCATGTGTGCGTTGATGGGCGGCCACATGGCGGAAAAGGAGGAGAGGAGGATCAGCCACGCGCAGAGGGGGGTGGGGGGAGGGGGGAGGGCTTCTTAGAAGCACCCCTGCCTCTTTGAAGGCGCGGGCCGTATCTATAGATGTAAGGCCGGCGCCTTCTGAGAAGCAGCGTCCTTCTAAGGAACCTTCCCCCCTCCCTCCACCCCATTGTGCGCGCCGCCAAGAGGAAGAGGAGGAGGAGGAGGCATCTCAAACCAGTGTTTCTCGAAGCAGGATCGAGCTCTTCAGAAACGTATGAAACACCAAACCAATTAATTGTCGCTGCAACAAGAAAGCCCAAGATGCCAGATTTCTGGGATGTATGCGCGCGGGCTTCCCTATCACTCCCATCAGCGCCATCGCATCACCGCCGTCATCGTCAACGTCAATCGCCGCCATTGCCACCATTCTGATCACACCACCTTCATCACCGACACATAGAACACATGATTACCCTCGTCACCAGCATCGGCTCCGTCATCGGCCTTGCCGTCGTTATCGTCGTCATCACCTCCATCATCGCTGATATGATCATCGTTGCCGCCGTTGTCGCCGTCATTATGGTATCGCGCCCTCCTGGGTCTGCGACCTGCGCTGAAGTGTTTGTGTGCCACCGCGGCCTTTGAGACGCGTTGGGAAGTTTCCATCATTAAGCGCCCTCGTAGTCGCAGCAGTTGTACCACATCAGCTGGTCGCTCTACGCACGAGCGTGCCCGCGCCAGCGCGGCCGCAGAGATGTGCCAACGAATAGCAATTTGTAGCCGCAATTGTGGCCACATGGGTGTTGCCAAAACAGTGTTGCGGGTGGGAGGGTGGGATGTTCGCGCGAACGTCGGAGTAGACGACACCAAGTTCTACGCAGTGGCTTACGCCACACAAATTACGCAGCGCAGCTTGCACCACATCGTTTGCATTGCAGCGCCTTCGACTTCAGCTCATACGGCATATATTACACGACATATATCACACCGCACAGATGGCATTGCATAGCTTCTACTACAACAGCGCACGCCGCGTAGCTCACGCAACATTGCTTACACCACATAGTTTGCACCCCATAGCCTCCAGCCTGTTGTCTGGGGGCCCGCACTGGCTAATCGATTCATGGATATTCTTGTCGAGTATAAATTCACGTGTATACCAGCCACAGAGGGAAATACATTGTAAGCCCGCGATGCAAATATTCAATATGTGCAGGTTCGCCGCAAGAGGAACCAGCATTCGCATGAATTTGGTAACCGGCCACAGAAGACAACGCTCGCCAGCGCGGGCCCCAGTCACTGAGTTATTGCACCGGAGGTGAGCGGTATGCTGCGTAAGCCATGCGGTACCAGCGAGATAGGATAATCATGAGTCCATGCTGTGCGGAATGCGCTATGGGAGCTGAGTGGTGAAGTATATGCGGTGCAAGCTGTGCCTTGTAAGCTATGATGTGCGGTTTGGGGGTCCTGGCTATGTGGTGCTGGCCAGGCTGTTTTAGCTGTGCGGCGTGCGGTGTGTGGTGCAAGGCATGTCGTCCAGCCCATGTGATGCAGGCCGTGTTGGGCACGCGCCCACGACGCGGCCCGAGCGGCAGCGTGGCGCATCCTCGGCCGACCCGCCCAGCACACGGGGCGCCGACGAGGCGGCATGGTACGGTAGGTTCGCGCCGTGTCGACCGGCGGCGACCCCGCCGCGGGCGTTCAATCGGGTATAGCTAGGACCCCAGGTAAGGGGACCTTGTTAGTGATGGGGCCCCAGAGCCCCTAAATGGATCAGAATCACTAAACCAGGTCTGCCGTAGCTGGTGTTTTTTGGGTGACAGCAGTTCCAGTTAGTGGAACGGGGCGGGGGGGGGCGTCCCCCAGTACACATCACTAAACCAGGTTCCATTAAACCCAGTTCTGCCAACGCCCGAGTTCGAGTTGAACGCCGCCTGTGGCCCAGAATCGGCCCACATGGGACGATCGGGCAATCGAAAAGCAGCAGATCGGTCAAGGTTGAACGATCCACGCGGTGTCAGGAACCAACGCCGGGGTCGTCACGACACGAGCTTGCCACACGGTAGTGTGGACAAATTATGGGCCGCCCGCTCCATTTTCAAGGAACATTCGGGCGCCCTAAGTGCAAACACTCGTTTGGGGAGGATGTTTTTGCGGCGGCCGCGCCCCGATTTCTTGACACACGGACTCGTGCCGTGGAAGAGTTGCAACAGCTTGCTGTCTTGCGCCTGCTGTATACGAAGGCTGCGTTTGGGTGGCCCTGCAACATTTTCGATCAACAGGCAACTAGGCCATCATCTTGCTTTGGTGGGCGGCTACTTCTGCGCGGGTGGCACCTGGAGGAGCGAATGCCTATTGCCAGGCATTCCGTGGTATTCTACCACGCCTCAGCGCGCCAGGGTTTTGGGTGGTGGATTAAGGAAGGTGTGGCGGCGGTGGGACGCGTAGAAAGACATGTATGGGCAGTAGAGGCGGGTTGAAGTGGTGGTGCAGGTGGTTTCTCACACTCAGTCTCTCTCTCTCTCTCTCTATTCCATCCCATGTCTCTGTCTCTGCGCCTCCCGCCCAGCCCTGTTCCCTCTCCCCCGCTGTCTCGCCGCCACTCCCTCCCCCTCCCGCCCCCACTCCCACTCACCGCCACTCCATTCGCACCGCCTCCTTCTCAACGACGAGGTTCCCGCAGCTTGCGCCGACGACGGCGTGGTTCGCACAGCGTCGACGATGTGGTTCCCACAGCTTGCGTCGACAGGGGGAGGATGCGCAGGGAGGATGTGGAGGTGAGGGACAACCAAGCGGGCGTTGCCCTGAGCTTGAATCCAGAAGTGTCCGTGCAAGAGAAGCGCTCGGGAAATTGCGCACGCAGTTCTTTCTGCGCCCCTGCGCATGTGCACTTCTTTTTCGTCCGTGTACGTCTGCTTCGGTGGCCAGACACGGTGTTGAAAGATCTGTGGTCGTATTCGTGTCTCTCTCCTCTCTCTCGCTCTCTTTCTCTCTCTCTCTCTCTTTCTATCCCCCTCTGGTTTCCTCTCTCTCTCTCTCTCTCTGGTGTTCTCTCGTTTTTGTTGTTTCTCTCTCTCTCTCTTTATCTTGCTCTCTTTCTCTCTGGTTCTCTCCTTCTCTCGTTCTCTCTCTCTCTCTCGCTCTTTCTTTATTTGTTTGTTATTTCGATCTCTCTCTCTCTCTCTCTCCCTCTGTGTCTCGCTCTACCTCTCTGTCTACCTCTCTGTCTGTCTCTCTCTCTCTCTCTCCATCTCTCTCTCTCTCTCTCTCTTTCCGCCCCTCACCGTTGTTCCATTGGAGGAGGGGGAGGAGAACGGGCAGGGGGAGGGGCGGGGGCAGGGGGAGGGGAGGGGGAAGGGGGGGGACAGACGGACAATGATGAGGATGGCAAGGAGGAGGAGGAGGAGGAGGTGGAGGAGGACGTTGATGGTGCTGAGGAGGACGAGGCTCTCACCTCTCCCATGGTGTGCGCTGTTTGTGAGGGAGATCCGCCCGGCGAAGCTCACAGCCGAGAGTGCAGCGGTGCACGCCCGCACTGAGGGGTCAGGCTGGATTGGCTGCCGCGCGTTCGACTCGCCGCCCTTCGAGCCCCCACAGCAGCCTGGTGTCCACGGTCCACAGCGGGGCTCACTCATTCCACGAGCGACGAGCGTACCCATCCGTGGTGCACGCCCTGGCGGTCTGGATTCGGGGGCGCGGTCCCGTGGATGCGCGGTCGCGTGGATTGTGCGTTCCGCGCCGAGCATCTTCGGAGAGCGCGCTCCGTAGCCGCGGGGTCGCGGCCCAGGGGCCCGGGCCCGCGAGGCCGTGGATGCGGACATGCTTCCCGTCCATGATGCATGAATGTGGATGTGGATGTGGACGTGGACGTGGATGTGGACGTGGATGTGGATGTGGATGTTTCCGCGTAGCGTTCGAGTGTTCAGCTTCGAGCCCCCCAGCTCTCGTCCGGACCTCGGGTCCTTGGCAATCTCTCCGGAGGTTCCCTCCCAGGAGGCCTCCAGAAGGGGCTACGAACGTTTGAAGACACAAGTCATACTCGCACCTCGATCTGGCGCGTTCGCAGCGCCAGCGCCACAAAATTTGCGCCCCCAGTGCATATTTCGTGCCCTTCGACGTCTTCATACTCCAGGAGCCAGAGCCTACCGAGGCATACTTCATCAATCGGGGCTTCGACTGTATTTTTCTAGCCGACATGGTCTTGACTTTTTTCACGGCCTACGAGAAGGCACGAGTGCTTGCTGTTTGCACGACTCGCCGAGCGCCCCAGGGGTTATGAGGGGAAGAGGTCCAGAGTTTTCCAGTTTTCGGCCTCCCGGGGTCCATCCTGGGCCTCTTAGACCGTCAGAAAACGATCTCGGATGAAAAGCTTTCTTGAAGGGAACTGCAGGGCCCCTTTCCCTCATGGCAAGCACGACGGAGGCACAGCAGAGAGGGGTGAGCAGACAGGGCTCCCAACCGTCCATTCTGATCTCGGCTCGATCCGGCACGAACCGATTCCCTTTCCTGCCTGGCGTGGCCGAACCCGCTCTGCGATCCCACACGATCCGATCTCGATGTGATTCCGTGCCGCTTCAAGCGCGATCGAGGGAGGAGGTTGAGAACGAGGGGACGCTAGATGCTGGATTAGCCTGCCTCCGAAATCGGTGAACACGCAAGAATATGTAGTATGATTTGGCCACGCAGCCGGGGCACGGTGCTCGTCCTCCTCGTCACGACCAGCAGCGTCACGATCATCATCCTTCCGACTGCCTCTTCTTCCGCCCTCCTGCTGCTCCTCCTCTCCCGCCTCGTTTCCTCTGCTCCCCCTTTCTCCCCCGCCTGGTCCTGCAAGCGAGGGGGGTTGGACAGCGTCGTGTCGTTCCCTTCTCGTCCGCTCCGAAGGGTGGCGCAACAGGGCGAGTATGGAACGGACCATCGTTGGGTCCGACGGCATGATGGGAGGCATGGTAGCATCATGGGCGCTCCACGCGATGCGGACCCCTTCCATAGGAATGGACGGTGTTTCCCCAATGAGCCATCATTAAAGCCTTGGGGTCTGCCATCTTTGCTCCTGTATGACAAATACGATTCTTGCTTATTGGTCACACTTTAGGTTGGCTTCTTGGCGACGTCGTACAAGCATGACTGCGAACCAGGATCTGCTGTAGGAAGGTGTGCATGCAAGCATGTTTTTGGTGCGTGTTCTGTAGCCGCCGAGACTCGAATTTGACAGTCTTGCGACATGCTTTAGAGCCAGGCAGATGTATTAAACAATTGCGACTCGCAGCTTCAGAGCTCTTCAGTTTCATCGCGCGCTTGTCGCTACCTGTCACACTCTTGCTGATGCATCTTTGGCTGCTCTCTCCCAGGCAGATCAGAATGACGGGCAAGATTGGGCCCCTCCGATTCGGCATGCAACCTGCTCTTTTTCGCCTGCTTGACTAGCGGAGAGAGTATCACCAACATGGGCAGTCAAGATCAAGAAGGGAATCTCTGAGTGCATGAGGTCCGCACGTACATAATAACATTTGTACATCGATCGAGGATGAGGAGGAGGTTAAGGAAGAGGATACGGGCAGAACGAGAGAGAGAGAGAGAGCAAGAGTCGGGTAATTGCATATGTATTGAGGCATGGAAAGAGAGAAACAGAGAGAGAGAGCAAACACAACAACAGCGAGTAGCGAAGGGTATGAAGAGAAGCAAGAGGGAGAGAGGAGGAGGACGAGGAGGAGGATGTAAGAGAAAGAAGAGAGGAGAGATGGAGAGGATGGAAGAGGGAGCAGTGGGAGAGAGGAGGAGGAGCAGGATGTGGACGAGGAGAGAGGATCCATTTATGCAATGCGTAATTGCCCAGATTGCCCAGATCCTGTTCGGCCAGAGATTCACGCTGCGGCTGCGCGTTTTTGTTGATGCCCCACACCACTACCTCTCGCCTTCTATCCCTCCTGTCATTCCTTCCTCACCCTCCCTCCCATCCTCCCTCTAGTCCTTCCCCCTCCCTTTCCATTCCCCCTGCCTCCCCCATCTCCTCCCTTCCTTCCCCCTCCCCTCTTCATCTCTCCCTCACCTCCTTCCCTCGCCCTCACGGCAGCCGCTGGGGGGCGCAATCCATACGTGAACACCAACACCGATTCTGGCAAGGCCAGGCTTGGGCCCAGGATCGGTGTATGTGCCTTCCTGGCCAGGCCAGGGGAGCATGTGGGCGTCGGTCGAGGGGATCTGCGGCCTGGACGGTTCGGATGCGTCGCAGCCGCAAACGGTTGCGTTCGGTCGGTCCGGTCCGTCGGTCGTTGTGTCGTTGCTGCGTCTGTGCACCCTTCCAGGCTGCCTGCGGCCTGACCGGTTTCGGTCGGCTTCGGTTTCGTTGTCGGCTCGGCCCGTCTTCGGGTGTGCTGTGGCCTTGGGGGGCATCCTTGGGCCGTCGCCAGGTGGGGCTAGGACAGGGACTGGTCGTTCCACAGCGTTCCGGAACGCTCTCAGAGCGTGCCAGAACGCTCTGAGAGGGCCGCGGCGATTGGCATATCCTCCAGAACCGCCAGACCTCAGAAGTCCCCGAGTTATCCCTGTCCAATGTTGTCCCTGTCCTGGCTTCGTCTTACGCCAGTGGACATGCTGCTGGCTTCGTTTTACGTCTTTCCCGCGCCAATCGAGCCCGCCCAGGAGCTGCGGCGCGCCCGCGGCGCGCACATGCAGCAGACAAGCGGCCTAAGGCCGGGAGGCAGACCACAGGGCAGCATGGCGCTGCCATGTCAGCTCCAACGGCGTTGACCTGAGGAGCTTGAGTAACAGGAGGTCTCGCTGTAGGAGCTTGGGCCCATGGCAATCTAAGATCTCCACGCTGTGGCTGCCAAGCGAATTTCCCATCCTGGGAGTATCTTGGTCCGTCTTGGGAGCTTCTCAGGTTGTCCTCCTCCTCCTCCTCCGCCTCCTCCGCCTCCTCCTCTCTGCGCTACGCCCTGGCCCGTCACCGCGAAGGCGGCTGGATGCGGCCAGCAGAGGCTTGCTTTCCTTCCTGGTCTGGGTCACGGGCTTCGGCCCGGCCCGCAGGCCGGTCGGGAACTTTTCATTTTTGTCCAGCGTCTTATGCTGCTTGTTCCAGCCTTCCACTCTTCGGCTCAACACGCTAAGCATTTCCAGGCCCCCGAGCGTCAACGTCCTGGGCTTTTCCAAGGCTTCCGCCCCGCGGAGAGGGCATAGCGTGTCGCTGGGGCAGCCACTACGACACGCTAAACAAAAGTTCCCGACCGTAAGTCGCTCCAGAGCCTTGAAGCCACCGCGGTGCCCGAAGATAACATGCTCCAGGCCCACCAGATCTCAGAGGTCCCCGATCTGCATTGGGCACCAGCCTAAACTTCGGCCGACTTGCACCACGTTGAAATGTTGCGGTCGAGGGTTCGGGGGTTCGAGGGAAAGGCGCCGATTTCGGCCACATGGGGGGCCCCCGGAGGGGCCCAAAGCCCTCGTGTTCCCCGCTCTCGCCTCTGCGAACATCGCCGACGTCGAAAATTCAGGCCCGCGCGTATATTCATCCGAATGTTAGTTTTGATCCTGCCTCCGTCTTCCCTCCTCCTCCTCCTCCTCCTCCTCCTCCTCCTCCTCCTCCTCCATCCTCCGAGGCTGCTCAGTTTCAAAGTCATTGTTGCGCCTCCGAGTCTGCAGCCCGACACTGGCGGCGTCGCGCTTCAAGCTTACCATGTCGCGTGTGCTTCCTTCGAGCTGCCTGGACGTCCAGTCGTGACTTCGGCTTGAGTGTATGCGATGTCGTACCCCTCTTTTTCCTCCCCCCCCTCCAGAATATCCGCGAACCACCCCGCGCCCGCCTCC